TCTGTTATTTCTTTAGTTTGTAGTTACTCCTTCGAAAAACAATCTGATAGAATCACCTGAATGTAATCATTGATCAACAGGATCCAAAATTGTAATTCGAGCCCACCGATTTCACGATGTTTCCTTAAAATGAATTTGCTGCCTTCAATGGTGCTAAAGACGTCCAACAATCGTTTCCCAGAATAGAACGAATTTTCGTCTCCTACGGAAGCAACACTGCAATTTGCAGGAGTTCCAACGAACTCAACGAAGTGTGTTTTATTTCGAGACAATATCAGAACGAAAGAGAGAGGGAAATGAGATTCAAAGCACAGAAAGTTTGCAATGAAAATGGTGTAAATTTTCTGGTAGAGAAGCAGGCTATTTATAAACTTGTTCGTGGCCATTCAAACAGTCATCACCTTTCAGACAAATATCAAAAATTCGAACAGACATGTTGTTCTTAAAAGTCATGTATGTTAAATCGGTTAACAGTCAACTGTTTGGTCGGTAAACAGACGACTGTTAAAAGAAAATAAAACACCCCGGAATAATATGCCAAAATTTAAATTTCATAATGTACCCAAGAATTTGATTATTTACAATTTGGCCCAAAATTTTGTCCAAAAAGTTAATATAGTGCAAAGGTCCACCCGCACCGAACCGGATCGGACTCGGACGGCGCGCTCGTGTGGGTTTATGACTTAACCCAATAGGATATAGGTCTTCCCCCTTCTAAAAACTATTGGTACCCCTTGGGCCCAAACCCAATTCCAAACTTCCACCTTATAAACCATACCAAAGTTTCCTAACTTTCCTATGTGGGATAAGTGTTTGGAAAATAAAATTTTTCTATAATCTTTAGTTTATGTGGGTTAATTTAACACTTAATATTTCATTCAATTTTAAATGATTTTCGATAAATAAATATATCACGTTAATCATCTTGCGGAGTAGAACGTGAATATGCTAGGTCCCATATTAATTAAAAGGTGGGTCCCACTGAAATTTGGGCTCAAAGTTGACACATTAACTATTTTTTCCAACAAAATCGAAAATCAAAACCGAGTGGGTCTAGTTCAATTCTTGTTCTTGAATTGGAACCGCGAATAATCGAATGGAACTGATATTTTTACAATTTCTTATTTTTAATAATTACTAGACTGCATAAAAAAATTACAAAATTCGATATTTATAACTTAAACACATAATAGGCTGCTCAACCCAACCCAAAGAAAATATCCATTCCAAAACTTTTGGCCCATTTTAGAGTTACTAAGTCTAAATACATATATCTTGCCCAAAAGCAATTTAAGTATAACTCAATGCCAAACCTGTAAAGATAATAACACATTTTTCATCTTTCAATCACTATAATTCCCTGCTGCCTTCTTTCCCTGTTCCCTTTTTGCATTTCCTTCTCTTCAACATTACTCTTGTTACAATAGCTTCGTCTATTACACCGACACCACAAGTAATTTTTGTAACTCTTTCAATACATACTTAGTTTTCCTTATTATGTTATCTTTAAGCCTTTATTTGAATTTTTCTTGAGTATCGATATGATTATTTCAAAAAACTCGATTTTTTTAGGTCACCATTTTTTCTTGGCTCTTTATGCTAGTCTTATACTCCTATTAAAGTTCTTTTAAATTTTGACTAATTTTTAATGCTCTTTTAAGACTGGTTTTATTACTTTTTTGTGTAACTTCTAATTCGTTAACGCTCGTTTATGTCTCGAATGATTAGTCCATTAATGTCAGTTACCAAATCTATGACCTGATGGATAGTTTGTAAATGATTTGTCTAATTACATGATAGGATTTATTAAATGTGTATTCAAAAAAATGTTATGGGTAGAACCGAACCCAAATTGGAACTGATGGTTCGGGTTTGGGTCCAATGATTACGTGGAACCGAATGGATCTATTTGCGAAATACTCAAAATATAATGGATGGTTCTGGATATTGAAATACCCGGACTGACCCATCCGACGCCCACCCCTAGTAGGAACCCCGGCCGTCGATGGATTAAATGGATTGGGGAAGGTTCCATTTTGAGATTTGGGCTTAATAAGACGGCCCAACAGAATTAGAGGTCACGTCGACCTAAATGGTTTGCTAGAAAAGGTCCTACACGGTGGGCATTTTCTGGGAGAGTTTTGGGCCGCAAGGTGGACAATACCCATAGAATTATCTTTCCCGGTTTGATCTGACAAAACCTATAATTTTTTTGGAAACAATACAAAACTCCTATAAATAAAAATTACATTTCAATACTAACAAACTTATCAAATTATTTCAAAATTCAAGTGTTAATTCCATTTAATAATATATATACCATATATAATTAGTTAAAATTAATTATCATACTCAATTAATTAGCACCCCACCCACCAAATTAATAATATATTAATTACTAATATCTTAGGATCCCACCCATGACCACCCACTCACGACTGTACCCCACTCCCACTCCCATGGACCCAAACCCATCTCACCCCCATCACCCCACTATACTACCTTCCCTCCACATCTCCATCGGAGGTCCCCATTAGCTCTGGCGACCGCTTCGACAGTCGATTCGATGATCTCTTCGACAATCGATTTGACGACTACTCCGACAATTACTTCGACAAATTATTCCAACGACCACTTCAATGACCACACCACACCCGCGAAACCACCCCACCCCATGGTAAAAAAATTTCCAGAAATTATGGTGGCAACAGTGGTGCATTATAGATGACCAGATTTCTGACTAACTGCGTTATCTGTGACCATACTTATGTTATATGTAACTATTTATGATCAAATTTGTATGTGTGACTAAATTTGATCAAAATTGTCTTCAGTGTAAGTGTTTGTAATCAAGTCAATCTTAACTATGACGGTCTGTGATCAAATCACAATCAGTCATAATTAATACAAATTGATCACAACTAGTCACAATAAATACATACTTAGTCACAGAGGGTCACCGCAAACAAATCTGCATACATCGCAGACAAACAACACAATCCACCCCCAGCATCACCTCCAATGCACCACCACTATCATCTTCAACTCAAAATTTACGATCATAAGTACTACCTTCACTGGCACGCGTTATCAACGATTAACCATTACCAATTTTGCATTCAGTGTGATTGTGACCATGTCAGTTTAATTTGTGACTATTTATAATTAAGTCACATACAGTCACAATTAACATAAATCTGGTCAAAGACATTCACAATAAATATAGACTTGGTCACACTAATTTCCATCACCACTACAAAATGTTCACCACCAACACGTCCAACAAATCCCAACCACCACCACCATGACTACTAGTATCGGTGTACAACATTAAGATCCACTGCTCATACTTGTAAGCAGCGGTGCACCTCCTTTGAAGCCTTCAAACGTCGACCAACATTTAGGCCTACCACTCCACATCGCCGGCCGTCAACCACATCTTCCTACTAAATTTTGGCAACTACAGTTTTACCCTACCAACATTAACTGTAGCAACTACCACTAACTGTAGCACCCAAACGCACCAAAAAATAAGCAAAAGACCAATAGCTATGAACTGTCTTTTGTGCAACACCACCTTCTCCGGCGATGCCCATGCCAGTACCACCACACCGATCGACCATACTCATCAATAGGCATCTATTTATTGTTTAATATCGTCAAACAACAATATACAATCCAAATTTATAAATTCATTATTCACATAACTGAACACGCACATTTTAGTTCAACTTTTGGCTCCGACAATAAGCCACACGATTGCAAACCACCTTCTCCGACGTCTACACACCATACCACATATGTTGTTGCCATGGGTTTTGCCTTGCTGTACTGATGCATGTAACAGTTCGTTGCTGCGTGCGACGATTCTTCTTTGCGAGAAAGAAAGGGCAAGTGAGTGGGGGTCGAACATGCGTGGAGATATCAGAAAGAATAAGCGGTTGTGTAGGATCCCCCCTTCCCCACACAACAACACCGGGAAGAAAGGGCAGATACGTTGAATGAGAGAGAATGAGAGAGATGAAAATGAAATTGATTCGAATAGAATAGAGTTGATTGTCGGTGGGTGGGTATGTAGATTAGGTTTAAGTGAATTTTTATTATTATAATTATTAAAATCTAATTATCACCTGATATGTGAAATTTTAAAAAAATTCCTCTTTATTTATGAAAAGTATTATTTAAATGTAGGTTTTTAGGTAATTTTTTCTAATTTTTTATCAATTACATCTTCCAAAGATTAAGACCCCATTTGATGGTGATTATAAAGATAAATTAGAAGAAAATGAGAATTTGAATAGTGATTTTTTTGAAAATGTGTACTCAAAAAATGAAAAGAAAAATTTTGGATTTACACGTAAAATATTTTATTCTGTGAATGTGTGGTTGAAAAATGAGTATGAGAAATAAAAATTTGTTTTAATGGACTTAAATAGGGGCTAAGCAAGTTGGAAAGTATTTATAAACAATTTAAATTATAAATAGATAAAAATAAATAGTGTATAAATAAATAATATTTGAAGATCTATTGAAATGTGTATATAAAATATGATTTAAGTGTTTACAAATATCAACTAGGCAAACAGCCAAGAAGGGTGCTTTTTTTTTTTTTTTTGGTAGGGTTATATGGGTTGGATTATTTTAAAAACAACTACTGCAACCCAAAAAAAATAAAAATAAAACTCATAAACGCCCAAAAGTGACATGCAAGCCCTTAGAGTAACCATTAATATTTAATAATGTAAGAAATTTAATCATTTAACACCTATTTGGGGAAAATTAAAATTAAATGTTATATAAGTTAAAATTAACAATTAATTTTAACATCATATTTTACGATATCCACAATTTTTCAATCTGACATTATATTTATTTTTATCTAAATTTACTAAAAATATGATTTTATTCTCCAGGGGCCCATAATTTACTCATTGCCCTTCGTACAAATCTTTGTCTTCACGATACAAACTTGATCATAAAACAGAATTGGTTAAGGAGCATTTTTAGAACACTCTAAAATACAAGCTTCCTGGCATTGTACCAAGATATTTAACCATCAGCGTCCCAATTGTACAAGCCACTAAAGCTTATCCAATCGTCTCCCGGCTCTGGACAAGATTTTTTTCCTCAGAAAAATCGTCTCTCACTTCACTCTCGCTCTGTCGGTAGCATTATTGTAGTGGCAGTTTCTCTCTCTAAAATCCCTACCTCACTTCCATGTTGTTTTCTTTTCTTCTTCGCCAATTTTACATTATTTCAAGTCAATTGTCATAATTTTAATAATTAATAATGAAACTGTCGCTAACTGCAATACATATTTTTTTTGTATGTATTTCTATTCATTGAGAGGAATTGTAGAGGGATATAGCTAGTGGGTCATTGCTCAGTGTTTTTCTCACCCCAATTTCTCGTTTTCTTATATTATTGGAAGGAATTTAACTTTTGGAGAGAGATCTGGTGGATTTTCGATCGATTTGCGTATGAATTATAGTTGATCACGAAGGAAATTTGTATTTCGGTGACGGAAATAGCAGTAACGTTGTGACCCCGAGGTACCCATTTCGTTGTCTTTTAGTCTGCGTTTATACTCTATTATTACGTTTTCCGTTCATTATTCCCGAAAAAACAAACACGAAATAATTTTTTCAGCAATCACTAATCAGTATATTTGGAAGAATGTTATAATTTTATTCCCACTTTATTTGTTTGGGGGTTATCTACTCAATTAATTCAGAGCTCAACAACAGTGAACTGGGAATATTATTCGTGGTTTTTTATTTTATTTATTTTGGTTGACGGTATTCTTGATCTAGAGGTAACTCTGATTTTTAGTTTCGATTATATTGTTGAGGTATTAGTTAATTTTTCCCCTTTCATACGATTTTGGAAATTGGAGTTACAGACTTTGCTTTTGCAGTGAAAGAGCGTGAAAAGAAACAAAGATTCTGTTTTTTTCAGAGGACATTTTAAAGTCTCTCGGCATGTTGATTAAGAACATATCCGAGTAAATCCTATATATCTGTCTTTTCAGTCAAAGTCTAGCCGCATTAATGGAACCAGAAGCTGAAATTAAGGTTAGTGTTCAAAACTAAATCAGTTATTTTTTAATTATGAGGAAATTTCCTAGGTTATCTTTTATTGATCTTAGCGATATTTTTTGAGGTTTTAGTGAAATGAGTCTGTTAATTTTGTCAAGATTTTCCAAATGCGATTTACATTTAATAGTATGCCACTAAACAACACAACATCAGGCTTGAAACTTAGTAGCTTATGATTAAACATTATTTTCCAATTGTTATATATTATGGGTTGGCGGGTTGCAATTGTGATCTAAGCTGTTCACTGAGTGATTTTTGGTATATTTAACCATGCAGTATTGCGTACTAAATATGGTGCTTTATTGAGTAGGGAAAGGCCTTGAAGAACATGGGCAGTCAGGTCTGCCAGATCTGTGGTGATAATGTAGGATTGACTGTTGACAGGGAGCTGTTTGTTGCTTGCGATGTCTGTGCATTTCCCGTTTGCCGGCCGTGCTATGAATATGAGAGGAAGGATGGAAATCAGTCTTGTCCTCAGTGCAAAACCAGATACAAGAGACATAAAGGTACATTTTATAAATATTATTGGATGAATCTAGAGTGATAGATTTTATTTGGTTTTTTCTGCCTATTTAAGTATAAATTTACATAAGATTAGGTGCTTGTTTGGCCTCCATTTTAATTAGATTTTAGTAAAAATATATTTTGGAACAGTAATTTTTTGGAGAATGCGTGCTTAAAAAAGAAGGAAATTTTTTAATTTTAATGGAGCCCAAACAGGGGCTAAATATGTAATATAGAATTTTTTTACAAAATGGATACATATATAAAAATGGTGGTGAAAATAGCAGCTCCCCTAATTGCTCACACATGTGCTCTTATGCTTATTTTTTATTCTTATAATTTAGTGCAATGTGTTTCTTTTCCATTCAGATATCAAATGCATTAATTTTTCTTGGTACAGCTAACGCCCGGGTTGTGGATCCAGTGAGGGAGTTTGGATCCCCAGGGTTGGGCAATGTTGCCTGGAAAGAGAGAGTTGATGGCTGGAAGATGAAGCAGGAAAAAAATGTAATACCAATGGCTACTAGCCATCCTCCTTCAGAAAGAGGAGCTGGAGATATTGATGCCAGCACAGATGTGCTGGTGGATGACTCTTTATTGTGAGTTCCAACTTGTGTGGTGCCATGACATTTTGCTTCCTGCATAGGGTTTTCCTGCATAAAATCTGAGTATTATTGTGAGCCGTAGCTCTATTGCTTTAGCATTGCAGTAACATAATTGTCACTACAGAATCTTAACAATGATGGAGGCACTTTGATGTCATTAAACAAAAAGTTGATAGTTTTTAGCTGTAATAATGTAGTTGCATATGTATAATGGTTCTTCTATGCAGCAGTTGCCACTTTTCTTCACTCTATCCGGCCATTGGTTTCCTGTGCTTATTTCTCTGTGTTATGCACTCTGTGTTATGCAGGAATGATGAAGCTCGGCAGCCCCTTTCAAGGAAGGTTTCTATTCCGTCATCCAGGATAAACCCATATAGGATGGTTATAATATTGCGGCTTATTATTCTCTGCATTTTTTTGTACTACCGATTAACGAATCCCGTTACCAATGCATACCCTCTGTGGTTGTTATCTGTGATCTGTGAGATCTGGTTTGCTATATCCTGGATTTTGGATCAATTCCCGAAATGGCTCCCAGTAAACCGTGAAACTTATCTTGACAGGCTTGCTCTTAGGTGAGAAATTTGTGGTCATTTTCTGTTTGAATGTCATAGAACTGTTATAAAAAGTAGATGATATAGCATCTCTATTGTTTGATATCTAGATTGTAAACCATCATTGTTATAGAACTTCCATTTTGGTGAATATACACACGCATGCTACAGTTTCTGACTTCTACCTTCGATTAAATATAAACTATGTCATAGATATGATCGTGAAGGAGAGCCATCACAATTAGCTGCTGTAGATATATTCGTCAGTACTGTTGATCCTTTAAAGGAACCTCCACTTGTTACAGCTAATACTGTCTTATCCATTCTCGCGGTTGACTACCCAGTCGACAAGGTTTCATGCTACGTATCTGATGATGGTTCTGCGATGCTGACTTTTGAAGCTCTTTCAGAAACATCTGAATTTGCAAGGAAATGGGTTCCTTTCTGCAAAAAGTACAACATTGAGCCACGTGCTCCAGAATGGTACTTTGCTCAGAAGATTGACTACTTGAAAGATAAAGTTCAAACGTCATTTGTGAAAGATCGTAGGGCCATGAAGGTGGAAGTTTTAATTCAGAAATTCTGTTGTCTCTCCCCTTTAATCCTGACTTCTCATGTTTCTTCTCCTGCTTGTCCTACAGAGAGAATATGAAGAATTTAAAATTCGTATAAATGCACTTGTTGCAAAGGCCCAAAAAGTTCCCGAAGAAGGCTGGATCATGCAAGACGGTACCCCATGGCCTGGAAATAACACCAGGGATCATCCAGGAATGATTCAGGTTAGCTTGGTTCATTAGTAATAGATCTGATGGGTTGACATATATGCGACTATTACTTGTTATATACCTTATATCTATAAGAACAGTCATCTAAACTCGCATGCTTAGCATCAAAATAGTGCTAATATCATTTGATTGATGGAAACACATTCTTTTTTTTTTTTTTCCGTGTATATTACGAACTCAAAATAAACTTGACTTCCAACAATTTCCAGTGTTATCTATTTTCTTTAAAAAGGGCTTTTGTCAATTGCAGGTTTTCCTTGGCCAAAGTGGAGGTCTTGACAGCGAGGGTAATGAGCTGCCACGGCTAGTCTATGTTTCTCGTGAGAAACGCCCTGGTTTCCAACATCACAAGAAAGCTGGTGCTATGAATGCACTTGTAAGTGATTTGACAGTTGAGATTTGCAGTTAATCTAATTTTTATTTTTGGACGTATAACATGTTATATACCAATACCATGCATCTCTGCAGGTTCGTGTATCAGCAGTTCTTACTAATGGACCATTCTTGTTGAATCTTGATTGTGATCACTACATAAACAACAGCAAGGCCTTGCGGGAGGCAATGTGCTTTTTAATGGACCCAAATCTTGGGAAGTTTGTCTGTTATGTTCAGTTTCCACAGAGATTCGATGGTATTGATAGAAATGATCGATATGCCAACCGCAATACTGTTTTCTTTGATGTGAGTTCATAATCATTAGTAATTATTACTTCTTGCCATTTCATATAATACTGTTATCTAATTCTCTGTTTTTCCCCCTGGTGTCCACTGTTCATGCAAACTTATTCACAAAAAGATAAACTTGAGAGGTTTGGATGGTATTCAAGGTCCTGTCTATGTGGGTACTGGATGCGTCTTTAATAGAACAGCTTTGTATGGTTATGAGCCTCCTCTGAAACCTAAGCAAAAGAAGTCAGGATTTCTCTCTTCATGTTTTGGTGGCTCAAGAAAGAACAATTCTAAATCAAGTAAGAAGGGTTCAGACAAAAAGAAATCTAGCAAGCATGTTGATCCCACTGTTCCAATATTCAGTTTGGAGGATATAGAGGAGGGCGTTGAAGGTATGTTTTCTGTTAGAATCATCCTGTTTAATCTTACTTGTATTTCACGTTATTTGGTTGTTGCTAGATCTATTGGACTTGCATTTTTTTTTTTTTATAAAGCCTCTGTTTTGCAAAATTTATAAGTGGTCACACTTAATTTTCAAACACACATTTCAACCAATGGACCTAGAAGTAATGTCTAAATATCCATTTGTTTATAAATTAAATCATTGATAAATTCTTCCTAAACGGAGGCTAAATTAACCTTAGTGACACTGTATATGTGTCATAGATGCATGGATTAATATGCCTAATTTTCTCAATTAATTTCAACATTGAATAAATAAAAATAATGACTATGAGCCTGTTTGAGCCACATTATAATGAGAAATAGAGTATGAGAAATAGAGCTAGATGCATGGATTAATATGCCTAATTTTCTCAATTAATTTCAACATTGAATAAATAAAAATAATGACTATGAGCCTGTTTGAGCCACATTATAATGAGAAATAGAGTCATTATGGGCCCTACACCAGAGATAGAAATTCAAAAATGGTGGCTTGATGTGATGGATAACGGTCATATTTTTCATTTTAATGAGGTAAAAATGTGGTTCAAACAGGGGCTATATTTGTTCATTTGCTCAATTGATTTCAACATGCCGAATGACAAATATTGATTTGGATGTCAACATGAATGAGTGTGCATACACACACACACACACACACACACACACACACACACATATACACTTACGTATGTATACATGTATATATGGTGTAAATGATTGTTTCTTTCCGTAATTATGATTTGTACTACCGGTTAAATCAGACAAAAAAGGGTGAATTTTGTTGGGTGAAAAGCTTATTTTCTCAATCAATTAGATAATTGTAGGCCCAGGAAAAGGCTCGCCTAGGGAGCTGGGGCATACTTAATATTCCCATGCAAAGTATTTCAGTGTGATGTAGTGATACCATCAATATAATATTTGAATCTAACTTTACTAATTAAGCCCCTATTTGGCCCTCATTAAATTAAATTTTATTTTTCTCTTTCCTATTTTCAATCACCCAATTTTTCATAAGATTATTACACGTAAACCTAAAACTTTTTATTCTTCTTCGATCACACATTTAAAAAAAAAAAAAAAAAAAAAAAAAAAAAAAAAGGAAAAAATGGAAAGGAAAAAAAAAATACTATTTCACTCATTGAAATTTGAAATAATGGGGGCCAAACGGGGGCTAATATCCATGTATCTATTCTCAATTACTTTGCTGTTTATATTGATTTGCAAGTTTCCTTCCAAGTAAATATATTTGGTGAGTAAGGATAGCATCAGATATATTTGTCTTTGCTACGAACACATGCTATTAACACGTTTTGATTCAAAATGAGGTTCCTGTAAGAAAGAAAAACCATATGGCAGGTAGCATAAGCCATTCATTTAAACAATCAATGCAAGTATTCTATGCATGAGATGAATTTAAAGACAATTTAAGCATTATCAGTTGAGGTCATCTACTCAATCAATTCTTTGTCATAGTTTTGAAACTAACCATAGCATTGCACTCCATCGTCAGACATGTCCTCTTCTTTCATGTCTTCTTCCTACTCGTCACCTGAGACAAAACTATCTGAATTTTTGGTCTCCTGTTTGAATATTTTATCCAGTGTTGATTGGTTCAGAATTCTGAGCTAATTGTCTGTGTATATGGTCTGACATCATATGAAGCTAGCAAGGGGAAAGAATATATCTGTAATAGTCCTATCTTTTAATGACCACCTCCTTTGATATATTTCACATGGCCGGTTAGAATTACAGATATGCTGCTTTATTGAAGGTTTCATCATTTTCTCCAACTGTTAATGAACATATTCTTCCGTTGAATTCAAATACTGTCAATATATTGATAAGCATGTGTGATGCTGTATCTTTTCCCTCAACCTTTTTACTCACTTTTATTGCCAATATTTTCCTACTTTCACAGAGTCTAACATTCCGAAGTGCATTTCATTGCGTATTGAGTTTTTCTCAGACAAGAGTTTCGAGTGGAAGATCGTATATGTGAACTTAAATTAATATAGAAAATTTATTTAACTGTTGCCTCTGTTGGTGTTGATTTCAGGTGCTGGATTTGATGATGAGAAGTCACTGCTTATGTCCCAAATGAGCCTTGAGAAAAGATTTGGCCAGTCTGCAGTTTTTGTTGCATCCACTCTTATGGAGAATGGCGGTGTTCCTGAGTCTGCCACACCTGAGACTCTTCTAAAAGAGGCAATTCATGTTATCAGTTGTGGCTATGAAGACAAGTCAGAATGGGGAAGTGAGGTAAGTTGGTTTAATTTGCCATATGAAGTTCTCTATGTCTGATTACATATTGTTTATGCATAGAATATTAGCAAATGTTTCTGGTACCTTGGACTTGAAGGGAACGTTTGACAATTGGAAAATGAACGCTTAACACAGATTTCATTTATGTATGGAAACAGCTTCTAACAAATGTTTTGACATTACTATAAAACTTCTGCATTTATTTTACTAATAAATTTCATTATGATGAGATGGCTTATCAAACGCGTGAGCAGATAAAATTAAAAAATATGGAAGTTCCTAACTGCAGTTGGAACATAATGGGAATGGAGCATACTTTCCCTCGTGTAGTTTCTTAGGAAGCTCTAGAACAGGAAGCAAGTGTATTTTGCATCTGTTAATGGAAATTGCTGTGGCATGCTGAAATTATCATGTGTTTCTAATCTCTTTTATTCCTTTTCTCCCTCCCATCAAGGGTAAAAAGGTAAAGAAAATAAAGATTTTTTATGCAACTACTTTGCTCAGGCTTTTCATAAAGAGCAGCTTTTAAACATTTGTTTGGTGCCTTGTCTTGCTCAATAAAATTGAGGTGCGAAGTAGATATATTGGATATGTTTACATGCCAGAGCAAGTCAAAATTTCTCTCTTTTCTACTTCACAATATTTACTTATATTATTCTTCTGATGGTTTCAATTATAATTACTCATCAGAATTCAAGGGTGCTACTGTCCGTAAAGTTTGGTCAAATAAAACTTGCATATAGAATCCATTTGATGTCAGGTCTCATAGTAATACCTCTGCAAATTACAAAAAAATCATAAAGAAAAATAATATTTAGAAGTAAGCTAACTTTTGCTTAATTTTCTCAGTTTTAACTCTATTGGTTCTCCTTGTCATTCTTCCAAAAAAATTTAATCCATAATGTGATGATTTATTTCTGCGTAGTTGCATTGCATTATGAATATTTATCATCTCATTCAAAATTTATGTGGGGAACCTAACCAACTATTGCTAAGGGAATGTTCGTTATACGTTTATTTTCCTACTGGATATCCTATGTAATACCGTATGTGTCGGAATTAACAGTTCATAATACTAATTTTTTTATCTTATCCACAGATTGGATGGATTTACGGTTCTGTCACAGAAGATATTCTTACAGGGTTTAAGATGCATGCTCGTGGTTGGCGATCAATTTACTGCATGCCTCAGAGACCAGCATTTAAGGGATCAGCTCCAATTAATTTATCTGATCGTCTAAACCAAGTGCTTCGATGGGCCTTGGGATCTATTGAGATTTTATTTAGCCGACATTGTCCCATATGGTATGGCTATGGTGGAAGGTTGAAGTGGCTAGAAAGGTTTGCATATGTCAACACCACAATTTACCCAGTTACTGCAATTCCTCTGCTTATTTATTGCACGCTGCCAGCTGTCTGCTTGCTTACTGGAAAGTTCATTATGCCCCAGGTTGGTTCTATCTCCCATTCCTACCTGAACATATCATTATTCATTTTTTTGTTTCCATTTGAGCAATGGCCATTGTCTTGTATTTTACTTTGGCAGTATCTCGAGATTAACTTGAATTTAAGCATCTGTCAACATAGATCAAAATTTTATAAATTTCATTCATTTCCTTTACGAAAATTTTGCTCTATTATTTCACTTTGTGGTTGACGATTTGATATCAAATCAGTGCCATACTTCCTGTAGACATGCGTTTACCTTTTTGCTCTTGGTCCTTGACATAACGGAAACGCCATAATAGCATTTTATCATTTGTCTCCAGAATTTACATTATAAAATGAGATCTCACAATGGGAAAATTATTGCTTTGTATTGCAGATTAGTAACTTAGCAAGTATCTGGTTTATCTCTCTCTTTCTTTCCATCTTTGCTACTGGTATACTGGAGATGAGGTGGAGTGGGGTTGGAATCGACGAGTGGTGGAGGAATGAACAGTTTTGGGTCATTGGAGGTGTTTCATCTCATCTTTTTGCCGTCTTCCAAGGTCTTCTCAAAGTGCTTGCTGGAATAGACACCAATTTTACCGTCACGTCCAAAGCATCGGATGAAGATGGGGATTTTACCGAGCTCTACATGTTCAAATGGACAACTCTTCTGATACCCCCGACAACTCTCCTTATAATAAACATAGTTGGTGTTGTTGCAGGAATCTCCTACGCGATCAATAGTGGTTATCAGTCATGGGGTCCACTATTTGGGAAACTTTTCTTCGCGTTCTGGGTGATTGTTCATCTCTATCCATTCCTCAAAGGTCTTATGGGCCGCCAGAACCGGACACCCACTATTGTCGTTGTATGGTCCATTCTTCTTGCATCTATCTTTTCATTGTTATGGGTGCGAGTCGATCCTTTCACTACTAGAGTCACTGGCCCGGACATTGAGCTGTGTGGAATTAACTGCTAGAGCTGACATTTCCTCGATGATTTCATCTTCGTGTACCTTTGTCTATGTGAAGTTCACATTTGTATAGTAATGCAAATCTATGTAGTTTTATCAGATAATAGTTTGCTTTTTGTGTGTTCTTCTAAGAAAACAAAGTGAAGATTTGTATGTTGTTCAGCTCTCTCCTCCAGTGCTAGATGTAAGACTTGGAACATGAACTTTTGTGTGAACATTGTGTGAACGCACTTCTCATCCATGTAGTAAAATTTTATTCAGTCCCTGCATTATCTTCTCTATGTTAAGCAACAACTAGATCCTTGATTGATGATACGAAGTAGGTACATAATGTGGGTTATCTCAATCAACTTCGTATCTTTTTGGCTGGAGATTCTCTCTTTTAATGAACACGACCCTTTCAGCAATTTTTTTTTCCCCATTTCGAGGGCATGTTAGAACTGATGGACTCAATGGGATTGGGCCTGATAAGGACGACAAACTCTCGCGTATTGTTCAATCCAAACATGCTATGAATGTAAAATCTTGGGCTAGTTCTCAGTTAATCGTTTTTTGCCAAAAAAGTGAACTGGAGGCTCCCATTTCATGCCAATGAATCTCCAGGAGTAACTACTCACTCAAAAATGAAGGTAGTAACAAATTGGCTGAGTTTTGAAGCTTTTTCGGGGAAAATTTTGGACCTCAGAAAAAATGAGATTTCAGATAAAATCACAGAAATATCTGAAAGTCAATTATGAATCTTTCAACGCTAGAAAACACACGAGATTCATCATAGCTCCCACATCTCGTTGCACCTCTTTCTCAACAATTCTCAGGTGCCCTTAGTCTCATTTCACCTCTTTTTACTCAATTCTCAGGATGGTTGGGGCTATATTGGTGAGGTCTTTTACTGATAACTTCTCATGCCCATTTTTATGCTTGGATTCCCTTTCTTCAAGTAGCTTAAATGTTAAGGGCAATTTGGAGTTGGATAAAAAACTTAGAAGGAGAAAGCATTTGAAGAAAGTGAATTTGAGCACTTCTTTCTTGGATGCCTGGTATGAATGGAGATTGTCAGCAAAAATGCTTTCATTCTACACCTTTAAAAGCAATTCAAGAAAGAAACGTAGGCTTCATTCCCTCACTGTTGTCAATGAATTGGGAGGGCAGTACGAGGATACATTCAATGATGTCAAAATGGTGAGTAATCTCTCATTCATAATCATCACTTACACGTAGTTTACGCAAACAAGAAGAAAAAATTAAGTCTTGTGTACTATGTCTGATTCATTGGATTATTCAAAGCAACTATATCTTTAGTATTGCATATAAGTTTTGGTTTATCTGCTCCATTCGACTTGTTCTTGTGATGTGTTTGTATTCTGAACTACGCAACTTTGAAAGAGGGTTGGATAGATTGTCTATGCTCTCTTAGGTTCTGTTTGGCATTATCTACAGAATCGGACTTCTGTTCTCATGCAAATAAATTCTTTCATCTGCATCAGAAACTGTGCTGCGTCGACGTTCAGTAAAAAGGACAGTTCTGTTTGCCAATTCATAAGAAAGAAAATCATGGGAGTTCCATTCATGTATCTGAGACTGGACTATTGGTTCTCAATTGCCTGTTACTGTAAAATTAGTGCCAACTAATAAGAATCTAAGTTCCACTGTGTAAAATTCCCTTATGTTTCTTCTTTTTGATGTTTTTAGTTAAGTATACGGATTGAATTTCTTCAGCTTACAGGACATAATCAACTGCTTCACGTTTAAAGCTGTGAGGACTGTTCTTGAGCAACTCTATGAGATGAATCCACCACAATACGCTTATTTACACAAGTAAGCAATACATTCCTGATGCTTATGCTTTCTCTGATTTAAAGCTTCGGTCAGCATTCAGATTTTGAACTGCTGAACAGATATCTTACCATACATTTCACATTTTTTTTTTTTTTTCAACTTCTCACTTATTTACACAAGTTGGTGCAAATTATCTTTTACAACTGTTGAATGCAAAGGCTAATTTGATTACTTGGTGTCTGGAATCGTTCTTAATTTTCTCCATTTTGACAGCTTTATTGCAGATAACACGACCAAAAGTGGAAAGCTTTTTCTACAGACTTTAGCTAAGGTAATATCCAAAAATAGTGTTCAAATTTTCTTGATAGTTCTGTTACTGTTTGAGCCAAGATATAGAGTTCTTCCCCCTTGGAATTTTATGGCATGTTAGGTTCATCTGACTAGACATGACAATTGACTGTTGAAACTAAGAGAATAGAGGAAGAATTGTGAATAACTTCTGTATTCTGTGATAAATAAAACTGTACAAGAGCCCTCCTCTTATAGGTGAAGGAGGCAAGCACATAAGGTAAGTAATAATGCTAATTACACAAATCATGCTTTAATTATACAATTACACAAATCATTTACAAATATTATCACGCACTTCTTCTGTTTATTGCAATCTGATTAATACATTCTAGCATTTCAAACACGCTCTTAAAGTTCCAGAAGTTTCGAGAAGGTTCCTTTACTATGCCACAACAGAAAACAATCCTGTTTAATGCATGAAATACTTCTAAAATGCAACGGGGGCATATTTGTTCTGCAATATTAGGCAAAACTATGAAGGACAAAGGACGAGTACAAGATTTTAACATTTTTTTCTTCATTAATCATATATAGCCCCAGTTTGACAATTATTATTTTGGAAAAATAGAGTTTTAAATAGTGACTTTTAGGATCCAGTCGAGTACGTCAAAACATTTGAGTAGTGTTTATATAGTTTCAATCAATCGTGCAAGTCTTTCGCACTTTCTTGATATTTACAGGAAAGGCGGGAACTCGCTGAAAGAGTAATGATAACACGACTTAGCCTATATTCGAGATGGATTAAGGTACATCCATGGTTTAGTAGTAGTTTATTGCTTGATTTGTTGATTATTTATTTCACTTGCTCAGACCTTCCCACCAATTTTTATTTTCTTTTTTTGGGAAAATTGTGCCTTATATGCCTTCACATAAGGTAACATATTTTTTTCATTAAAAGTTCGACACATGCATAAAATTTATAAATGGGTGACGGCAAACTGGAGTACAGGACCTTTGCATGACTATGATGTAATATAAAGTCACTCCATTTGAAAATTTAGACAATTTTTTTGTCTTCAGTGTGATATTTTAAAGTTTTAGAGGAGGTTGTTCAACAACCACGGAAGCTAATGATAAATTTGATTTCTTCTTGTGGTGATTGAGATCTAGAAATGCGATCATGCCGAAATATATAAAGAAATTTCTGATGAGAACTTGAAATTGATGAGAGAAAGGCTTCTGGAAACCATTGTATGGCCATCTGATGACACAAATACTGAGAAAACAGATTGATGGGAGATGATGCCTCACTTTTGATGGGATTTTGTCTTCAATTTATGTGCTTCATACCTTGCTAGTCTAATGCCATTTTGACATATACATCTTCATGTATAACTCCCATTTGAACAGTTAATAAGGGGAGGAAAGTAGCTAAGATTGCAAATATTGTTGTGGCATAGCCTCACTGTGTGTATAGTCTTTATTTGAGTAGTTTTTACTTCGATAAATTGTCAAATTTCTATCAAATCTCTTGGTTGGAATTATCTCTATCAAAAATAATATAGTGCCAACTTAAATATATGGATTCATAGAGGTACAAAACATATATTTCTATTTTTGTGTTTTTAACAATATTTTTAAATGTTTCCGCCAAGGCATTTTGCGCATATTTCGAAAGATTAAGACTTAATGTCAAGAAATAAATGTTGAAGGTAAAAGTGACAATAAATATATAAAGAACACGATAGTAATGACACGATAGGCATGAGTGAGGAGGTATTGATCCAAGTTAGGCATGATATTGTTGATGACCTCTCAAATGACAAAGACAGACAACTTCAAAGAAATACTAATCCCGTAGATAAGATATTACAAGAGTTGTCATCCTTATAATGAGTAGATGAGAAGTCACATAAAAATACCGTACGCCATCTTGTTCCATGAATGATGAATACTCACTTCATACTCGACAATTTGTCGAATATTTATTGATATCGATATAAATTTTTGTTTCCCCAACTAAAAGGTAATTTTACTTTCGTAACTATTTTTTGAGTGACAGCTTACACTTTCGTACAAGAGAAATATTCAATTAGCGATCGCATATTTGTCTCTATTAAGTCCACGTTTGAGTCTCGTTATAAAATGATCATTTTTCTTTAAATTTATTTTCAATAAAATAATTTTGCACGTAATTTCAATTTCAATTTTTGTTTTTAATTTTACTTTTTATAATTGTTCTAAAAAGTGTAAAACATGGTTAGGTGTGAAGTTCAAGTATTAAGCTTTACGAGTCTAGATGAGGTCTCGACATAAAAAAACATTTTCTAATTTTTAATCACTGTAATAATCTCTTAATAATGTAAATAACATACCAAACATCTAAAATTGTAAAATACCATATATTTACTTAATAATTCCTATAATTAGTCAATTATATAATTGAAGAAAATTGAAACTAAATTTAAATAAAATATTTTAAAACAAAAAATTAATAAAGCATATCTAATCACGCGTGACAGTTAATCGCTTAATTTTATACTTACTGCCAAGGCGTGACATTTTGTCCGTGCCATGAGCCTAGGGCCCCTAGACTTTTTTTTACAATGATTTTTAACTATAATATGTTTTTCAAAAAGCCATTTTTACAAAATTTTATTTTTATGAAAAATGGTCCGAAACATTTATCATGCACTTTCTCTCTCCTTGCTTCATTGGTGGATTCCAATCAATTCAATGTTGCGTTCAAATCCGCGACCCGTTCAACCCACCTTCTCTTCCACTCCAATTGTCAACCTGACCTGCCAAGTCCCGTTTGCGGTGGAAAAACATAGTTGAAAATATATATACACACACACACAATGTCAATTGTTTATCATAGCTCGATCCACGTCCTCTATATTAAGCAAAAAATAAAATAAATTTATTGAATTTAATATTCTTACATGCAATAATATTATCATTCACCACTTCTATGTTCTTTTTGGAACAAATATGATATGAGACAATGCGATTTTGTGCAACCACAACGTTGTATACGCAAAAGAAAGTGCAAGTAGAAAAAAATGTCCACTGGGGCATATCTCAGTGGTGCAAAGGATAAGAGTGAGATATACTCAATTTTGCTAGCAGCTGCAGTGTGAGGGTTTGATTTCTGAGACATGGATTGAAACTCTTTGTGGGCACTAGTGTACAGGTAGTCCTTGTTCCCTGATTAACCTCTCTCATGATGCTTCAGGGGCGGGATGGTGGGGGATCCTTAAGGTGGGAGTTCAACCTTTTAAGAAAGTGCAAGTAGAATTGTCAGAGATCAAATACTTGTTTCGTCTTATTAGATGTTAATTACGAATTTAATAGTAGAAATAAATTCTACAGTATTAAAAAAAAAAAAATACACAACATATATTTTGTCTTTTTTTGCCTCTTGTTTATAATCGATCAAATAATTTTATTACATAAGTACTATCAGTTTATTCACCACACATATCTATTTGTTTATAATTCAAATATTTTACAATCCCCTAACAAACAAGGTATAAGAGTAACACAACAAATCTTGGAGTATCTATCAGTAACTTTTTAAATATGAAATACTCTTTACTTTAAAAGTCAATCCTTAAAATCATATTTCAAGAAACTCTTTAAATTAACATTTTAATTTAGAGAGTGCCTATAATTAAATGCATTTAAAGTATTTTAATTTTCGATATAGAAAAATAATAAAATAATCTAAAAAATTACTAGTTAAAATAAAAAAAATAGAGAAGAATAATAAATATATTTTGGAAGTAACAAAATTAAGTGCTAAATATTAAAAATTTGTTTGAGTATTTTAAAATTTTAATTCTCTAAATTTATAGATACTTTTCAAATGATAGATTATATTTTTAAAAATAGAAAGTTTCTTAGAGACATTCTTATATTCACATACAATCATGTGCCAAAAACTTGTAATTAATTTTTATTTTAAAAAATATGCAATTATTTTGGTGTTAAGTGAAATGCTTTTATTTGATGTAGAAACTATATGTGAATATTATTAAAAGTAAAAACCATAAGAGGAAGGAAAGTATAGGAAGGCATGAAAAGAAAAAAGAAAGGATAAAGCTTAGTGTATATAAGTGGTCCCCACACCTATGTGAGTGTATAAATACCCTCGCGTACATAAAATTACATACATTGCTCTCGGAGCATAGTCCAGTGGTGCAAAAGACAGGAGTGAGGTTATCTCACACCTTGCTGGCAGTCGCAGTGTGGGGGTTCGATTTCTGAGATATGGAATTGGACTTCTTGTAGGTGCAGTGTACAGGTAGCTCTTGTTCCCTGACCTGATGTGACACATCCCGCCATTTACCTCCCTCACAAAACTCTAGGGATGAGGCGATGGGGACCTCAAGGTTGGGGTTCAACTTTTTTTTAAAAATTTCATACACAAAGCACAATTCAAAACGAAATATAACATATGGGTCCCGATATTATCAAAAATGTAGTAGGTAGGTGCTTGGACAAATATTTTGATAGCATCAATCCTCAACCTTTCATTTTTGTAATATCAAATCCCAATATTTAATTTTAAAAACTCAATTTTTTGTCAAATAATAAGTTGCTTTACATAAAGATTTTTTTAAAAAAGTTGTTTTTTAATCTTTTAATCAAAGATAAAGGTAAAATTGTTCATTGAGGACTCAAGTGCACAGAATTGCACTGCAGACATCAAATAATAAGTTGAGAACTCACTTAATACATTTTCAAAAAGATAAGGACTCCATTTGTAATTATCCCCAAAAATAATAGTAGAAAATTGTGGGCCAACCTCCACCGGCCAAACGCGCCCTATTTCTAACACTTTCAAAAGTCTCAACATTTGACTCGCATTTCAACTTCATTTCGCGTAAATTTCAGGATCATTTCAATTTTGCATTTCAGTTTCTCAATTTCATCTACAAACTCATGCTCTCTCTTTAATCCTTGCGGACCTTTTTCTCTCGATCTTTCTATAGATGCACCCTTGTGTATATATATACATGTGTACATAACTATCTGCCCTTCTCTCTCTCGCCGTTTATAAATTGTACCATGAAGACCACTGTTCTTTTCATTTTCTCTGATCATTCCTGAAGTAAGAGATCACTGAATGAGTGAATGACCCAATATTACAGGACTTAGATCTATGCGAAAAGCTTCCATCTTTTTAACCATCTGTAAGTTTTGGGTGGGTCAGTGTTTTTTTTTTTTCCCTTTTTTTTTCGGGTTATTTGTTGGCTTGAGCTACCCAAGGGAGTTGGTTGGCTTTAGGCTTTGTGGATTGAATTCTTTTCTCTACTGATTTGTTCATCTCTACTGTTAAATTCTTTAAGATATGTCTTGCGAATCATGGAAAGTATTTGCCGATAAAGTATGATTGTACAAGTGATAATTTTTATCCGTTTGGATTTTGTTCTTATGGAATTATTCTTCAGCAGATTTAATATGAATTAGATCCTATTTATT